TTTTTAATCCATTGTACTTTGACCCTCATCAGTGATATGTTTTAGTGTAAAGAGCTGAAAATTTGTCTTTGCGTAGAGGGTTGAAATGCCGTCGAAGGTATAAAATTAACATCAAATCATTCCCCATTCATACAAGATGATTTGCTTGCAAGATTGCCCTCAACTAATCTGACAGCAAGCGGCGATACAGGCCGCAAATTAGGTAGCAACGCAATCCAATATTCATTTTTGGTATTAATTGCTCACTTGTTAGCCCTTGCCTAAAAGTGAGAGCCATTTCAGTAACGACGTGTACCGAACTATGAACGCATTTATTCGACAGTTGTGATGATCTTTGGGCGGTAGAATTACTGACGAAATATGTACTTCATCAGGCTATTAGCGCACGAGTAGATTCAAACTACACAGTCAGCCACAGAGGCAGGATACAGGGGAGGAGTCTAGATCATCCATTTACATAGCTCCGTATCAGTCTTCTTCTATTCATCTGTAAGACTTGGCGCCTGCTTGCGCAGCCAAGCCACTGCCAAGTTCCCCTTATCACACTCTCATTTACCGGTGCTCCACCTTCTGAGGCTCCGTCATATCACCTTCTCGCTAGGTTATTATCTAAGTATTGATGTTCTATAAAACCGCAGCAGAGCTTTACGGGGTCTATTTACTGTATAGCAAGCATTTTCCATTTGGAGGTGCAGGGAATTAGTTGATTATACTCAGCCAGTCTTTGCGCTGATCCAACCAAAACAGCAACTGCCAGAGATGTTGCGATCGCGAGGTGATGGGAGCAGAGGGTAATTTCTTCTTCGTCTGATGTTCCTCAGTCTTCAATCGCCAATTAACCAAAAACGGCCCTTGAGCCGGAAACGAGAAAACCCTGAAACATGCCAACACGGCTCCCGAGTCGGGTGGAAGGCCGATTCGTATCCCAGAGCGTATAACCCCCACTACCCGTGCGACAAAGTGGCGGTCGGGAGAAATTGCTTTCCGAGAAAAAGACTGACTTGTAAGCTTAAATCAGAAGGACCTGGGACGGGCCCATTACACTGGTTGCCAGATAGTGGACCAGGCACCTGGTGAGAATCAGCACCACAGGGAATAGCTGGTGGCTCTCTGCCCACTTTCCGGAGCGTGACCCAATACGAAGAATATTAATTTCAGCCGAATTCAGACGATTAGTGGTGCGCCTAGAGGATTCTAGGCCTGTGAGTATTGCTTGCCCTGTCCCGACCAACTAGAAGTAGAAAATGGGAGCTAGAGTTCCGAGAAAACAGTTTCAGAGCCTGACCATTCTCCACCTCATCTAGGTTGTTTCAGGGTTACTACAAGCATCATTCTTATCCGTCCCCACCTGTACACGGTCATCAAGAAGCTTAACTGGATCGCGAACAGCGGATGGGACGAATTGCCAAGGAATGTGGCGGGTGTTCCGGGCTTGTGGCATTTCGGGCGGTCAGGGCATCGAGCGAGCGTGGGATAGATTTCATGATAAATATGTGAGCTTTCCTCTCTCAGCTTGGTTTTCTCCTCCTCCTCCCAGCAGCAACGGCAACTTAGAGGCACAAAGTTTCCCAGACATCTTTTAGTTATATTGCTTTCGTTTCGTCCACAATATTGTCCGTTGACCGGAATTACCATAACCTCGATTCTCTATCACTCTTAAAAAACAACAACAAACAGACACCATGCATTCCGCTGCTTTTCTGTCTCTCCTCGCCGCTGTACCCACGGCAATGGCTTGCCTGGGCTACGAGGGTGGTCTCCCTAAGTCTACCGGTACCAAGAGTCTCAGCGCACCCCGCTACCTCAAGAAAGGCGAAGTTTTTGATGCTGGTTGGGTCAAGTACGACCGTGGTGTCAAGTGTGGTGGCCAGAAGGAGGGAGGTAAGACTTGCAAAACCCCAATACTCCCAGGATATCCTGAATTGATCTTGGGGAAATGCTGACTTGATAAAACAGGCGAGAAAGACACTGTCTTTGTTCTTGAGGATGGCGCTACGCTAAAGAACGTTATTATTGGTGCTAATCAAGGTGAGGGTATTTACTGCAAGGGCAGCTGTAACCTCGAGTTTGTCTGGTTCGAGGATGTCTGTGAGGATGCTATTTCCATTAAGGGTGATGGAACTGCCAACATCATTGGCGGTGGTGCCTACCATGCCTCTGATAAGGTCATCCAGCATAACGGATGTGGCCACGTGAACATCATCAACTTCTATGCTGAGGACTACGGAAAGGTTTATCGCTCTTGTGGTAATTGCAAAGGGAACTGCGCCCGTTCCGTTCATATGGAGGGTGTTACTGCCAAGAAGGGTGGTGAGCTTATCGGCATCAACCCTAACTTGGGTGACAAGGTAGGTCTATTCCCATTTCTGAAGGTTTTACGACTTCGACAGACGGGATGGCTAACTCGTTCCACCTCCAGGCTACTTACTCCAACAACTGCTTCCCCAAGGTTCAATGCCAAGCGTACGACGGCTGCGACAAGTCCAAGGGCGATTGTGAGGCCAAGAAGAAGGGCACCTGTTAAACTGTGAGCCTCTAGAGAGAGGTCATTAGTTAAAAGCCTCCGAGTTTTTAGCACATTTAGACATATTCTGCATAAATCGAAATATTTTCGGCCAGATGAAGGTTCTTATACAAATGACAGTTCAGCAAAGCCGTAGATGCGAGATCTGATCAATTATTTACTGTTTTGAATTTGAATAAGCTACGTTCAATGTTGTATCCAATATGTTGTTACCAGTCTCGTTCGATATGAGGATTGAGGAGCTCGAAATTTGCGTTGTGATTTATCCAAGGTGTTCACTGAGGAGTCTCCTAACATTGTGAAGGTAACCTATTTACAGTAAGCCCGGATTATCTCTATTCCGTATTACTCATTCGCAGCTCCTATTAACGCGAGTGTACTTTGGCTGATTATGATTGCAGCCTGACAGGTTTCAGAAGCAAAATTGACGCATCGCTTCTGGAAATGGCTGTTTTGGATTCGAACCAAAAATCTCCGCCCGAAAATGAAATTGGGGCCCGTGATGAAGCCACTGTCGATCGCAAGATAATACCACGCAGAGGACACACCAAATCGAGGAGAGGCTGTCTCACCTGCAAGCGAAGAAGGGTCAAGTGTCCTGAAAATACCCCCGTGTGCCACAACTGTGAGCGCCTCGGGCTCATTTGCCAGTATGGGGCTATGGGGGAGTCGGGGATTCATCCCTCAGCGCCATTGCAGTCCACCGGCGGCCACTTCTCGATTGGCGACTTCCAACTATTCCATCACTTTGTTCTTTATGCTTATCCGCCGCTACCAATACAGGGCAAAGCGGTTTGGGACGGCGTATGCCAAATTTCTCACCAAGTACGTTGCGCTTCTCTTACATCATGGGGTGACATATTATCCTGACTGACAGAACATCGGACGTTGAGTTTGACTTCTTAGTTCACGCCATGCTCGCGTTGTCCGCGTCACATTTCGATCTATGTAGTGGCAGTGAGGGGCATAAAACACAGGCGCTCTCTCACCGTACCACCGCTATCGCCCAGATCAACAAGGCCCTCGATAGCCCTGCCATGGCAGGCACTAGAGGTGATGCTCTGTACGCAGCACTCATGGTTCTTGCGTTTCAATCGTCTTATATGTCTGATGGCATGCTCGAGATATATCCTATGATCCGGGGATGTATGATGATGCTCAAATCGGCATCAGTCAACCTACCGTTGTTTCGCCAATTTACCGTACAAGACCACGAAGAACAGATTCGAACTATTCTTCAGAGTGAACCTTTGAGAGACCATAGCTCCCCCCCCCTAAAATTATTATTGGAATCTCTTAGAGCCATACGCCCTCTGTGTCAAACCAAACTCGAAATTGACTATTTCGGCATAGTCGAGAATATCATTACTATGGCAACATATTCTCAAGTCTTCTGTATGTTAATATTCCTATTTGATACTCCCTATTTCTTCCTAGGACTTATTTCTGATCACTGATCACGAGGCAGCGTTTTTCGAGGCATATCACGTGTTTAGTCGGCCAACGCAAGAAGAGTTCAATGCTTTTATGAGTCCCAGAAACTACGTCGCTCAACTACTAATGATTCATTTTTTCATCGCTGAATATGCCGTGGGGTTGAAGATGATACCGTCGATATTAAACTCAATGCGGTTCAAGTCGGATATCATTAGAGCGTGGGTAACTCAAGTCGAAAGTGTTCTACCAAATGATTACAAGTGCCATATGGCTTATCCCATGAAATTCATGGCTAATGAGGTGTTGTAATAGCAGTTGATTTCTTTTGGATGTCGGATTAACTGTCCTTCGAACTGTTGCTTTCCAGAAGATTGGTTATATCAGACAAAATCAGCGAGAAGACATTTTCTTAGTCATGCGCAGTCATAATATACGATGAATTAGAGTTAGTGGCTCGAGACACATTGTATTGATATTTCGAATATCATAATCGTATTTAGTCATATCCCCGAGCCAGCTTTTAGTAGCACCGCTCTAGTCAAAGGGTGAATTACTGGCCAACGTGGCCAAACTAGAATCCTGGATACAGGGAAGAAATCTCTCTTTCTATGTCGGGGATACTTCTTTGAGGGTCAGAGCTATGCGATCCAGACATGCCTGTCAAGCTCAAGCTGGTGTTCAACCGAATTCACAGACAATCGTCATTTGTAAATCCCTAACTTGTGAATTTGCACCGAGTCGCTTATTACTCATTTAGTTTACATTCTAGGTTGGCTTATGGAACGCTAATAAAGAATTTTGGCGATATTACAGATTTACTAATCACAGATATACAGGGCCAAACTCTGCTTAACTCATTAATATTTGCCTACATCTCAGCGTTAAGTTTTGATGAATATCACCATTTGGAATAGCCCGCTCAAGGATGAGACCCGCGATTGAAATTCTATACCTGGGCTGATCTACAAGACGAAATGATGTTGAGCTATATTGATATAGTACTGAACTCCTATTCGTCTAGCTTAAGCCTGATCATGCTTTATCTCTTGAAGTGGATGTATCTGAAGTTGCTAGCTGCAACTTTGGTGCGTCTTCCGTATGTGTGCTTCTTAGCGTAGTTGTACTCCTCAAGGTTGACATACTTCTTGTTCGTGGAGACTTTTGTGATCCAAACAACATGTCCTAGAGCGGAACCTGAATCTCTCTGGCTAACAGTCTTCTTCTTGGGCTTTTTGGTCACCTTGACGCCAACACTCTTGGCTGCATTGTCCCAGTGATTGGCGTTGCCCCAGTGCACATCCTTCCAATAATTATGAAACCCAATCCCGATGACGTTTCTGACTCGCCAAGCTGCGAAGCTGACGCATTCGCATCTGTAAAACTTCCAGTCATCGATACCGCTACATTTGCCCTTGTAGGGATAGTCGTTCGCACGTACCGCCAGCCCAGATTCAGTGTCATCCGTAGGCTGGTAGTCATCACCGAGATCGTCTTCCTCATCATCATCCTCGAGAAAATCATCGCTACATGTCTTCACGGTATCTCTGATGTCGAGATAGGAGACCGGGATATAACAGTCCGTGTCTGCGGTCAAGGCCCAGTCGGCTTTATCGGCCGTTCCGGCTTCGAGACAGACGATCTTGATATCTTCCTTAGTGATGTACTCGTGCTCTATGTCGGTGCTATTGTCAGGCCACTCGTAGTCACTCGTCAGGCTGTAAGGATAGACGAATCCAGCCAGGGCCAAGGCGAAAACCCAGGTCAAGATGACGACATGCATTGTTTCGTTGAGGGTAGATGGGTTTAAGAAAAAGAAGTCCAATAAATTAGGCTCGGCTGTCCATATCTAAAAGCTTCCTTTGCAACGGCGCCTCTCTTTATATACTTGGCCGCACACTAGAGACAGTAGCATGAATGCCCCTGTCAGCTCATGACGCGCAGAGTAAGAAAAGCTACATATGGTATTACGATGTGTTTTCCTAGTTAAGTTGAAGGTGATAATAATTGCCTATCGCACATTCCTTTCAGCACAATGGGGTAACATAGAGTTGCAATATCGAGTGAATGCCTTGCCATCCCATGGGAGTAGAGCCTTTACGGTGGCGGTTCCTTGTAATGCCTGGCAATATCCTTCCAAACACCTGATATATCATGCAAGGATTTCATACGAGAGATACGAGGCCGTTCCAACCAGGATTTTGAGGATAGCCGTACAGCACAGTTACTTTTATTTTTCTCTCAGGTACGAAGTTGCCGAGAAAACGAAGCATGCCGTATGATTAATGAAGTCTAGTTTGCGAATAGATTCAGTGATGCTGCTTCACGTGATGAGATTAATCCCTCGGCGCTCTTTGCAAAAGCGTACTTGGTGGGCCATGAGGCATTCTGGAAGATATGATTCATTCCAGTCCTACTTTATGACCGGGCGGAGCGCGGAAGGAGCGATGTTCTACAGCCAAGCAGCTGTCAACGCGACGAGGAGAATTGAACCAATTACCAACCCCCCATTCAGGAAGTGACGGCTCTCTACTGTGGTCAGTTTTTCTGATAAAGCATGCGGATCCTGAAGCGAAAACGCAATGATGTCTACAGGTACTGTGCGTTGGGGCCACCGTGATTGGGAAAGATGAAAATTGTTAAAGCGGTGTTTATATCATTAACTACAAGAACGTTGAATGCAGATTCTAACTTCTTTTTACCTTGGACAAAGACTGATGTATATGTATACAAAGTTGAAAGGCTTAAACATGACAATATTACAAACATGCCTAACCGTGCAAGTGGGTGACAATGAATTGGAAACACTTAGATATCATAATCCCTTTTATTCAAGTCTACGACTGTTATTATATGATTTTTGAGGAATAATATAATATAACGAAAAGACAATACCCTTGAGACTGTTAATTTGCATTGTTTTATACTTCTGTATTATTCTAGTCATCATAGAAAGTCTCCTGCTCATAACCACCGGTCGATTTGGTGTCTCATTTCTTCTGTCACCTAGTAACCGTGCAAATAAGAGCGTTATTTGAGCGTAATAATCGTCTTCGTGGTTGCGTTGGAGTATCTGTTAGAATTTTCAATAATGCGCGTCATTAGGATGATTTGCCATGAGTGTCCAATATGATTTAACCCCTACTCTGTGACTATACAGGCAGGGGTTTATTCATGTGAGACCTTATTTAGCATCACTCTTCCAACATGCAATATACGTTTTGGATTTCAAATACATATGGGCAGCATTTTTGAATTTTGTAGCAGCAGCCGTGGCTCGATTTCAACGGCGTTTTCATCGAGCTTTCTAGGAAGGTTCTGCCAACGGAAAGACCGAATGGTTGATCCCAAACGAACAAACGTTACACCGGTAAAGTGGCGTAAAGGATTGTACTAAGAATAGGCGATGACGTGGAGTCGCCGATGGCTTCAAGGTTTCGCCTAGCCCGAAGTCGGACCGGCTGAAATGCAGTCAAGAGTCTAAATTTGGTCGCACTATTTGCTGGAGTAGCCGTCGCTAATAACTCTCTATCCTCCATATGGGCGTCTTATAGATATAAAAGAAGGCTAGGAGAAGGCATTGGGAAAATATATAAAGCTATAGTTGGACATGGTATTCGACAAGTTTCGTCGACAAGCACTCCTTCATCTCAATATCAACACATCAAACATCACTTGCGTCAAAACCTCCAGCAAGAACTAATAGAACCCGACTCCTCTTTATCCGCAATAAAAAGACCCCAGCATGCTGCCTTCAACAAATATTCGGGTTTTGGTTGCCCATGCCATCTTGCTTTGCTTCACCTTGGAAGCTGTTGTTGCTGATCCAACCCTCCAAGGTTCGGCTGCGACAACTTCTTCGAAAAGCACGACCACGAGAAGCACTGCTACGAAGAGCACGGCGAGTGCAACTCCAACTATTTGCTCTACCAACCAGATAGAAAGAATGGACCTTTCCGACTGCAGATGCCAAGAAAAAGTATCAGGCTGCCAAGCAGGTGTTGTGTGTGAGGCAGTATGCGGCTTGCCAGTAACAAAACCCAAAGACGTCCTTCACTGTGACAGGGGCTGCACAGACGGCCAGAACAACTGTGAGGGCTGCGGCATCTGGTTCCATTCTCTATGCAACTGTCTCAAGAACCCGGATAAATGCCCGCACACTGGAACTGTTAAGAAAGATAGCCACGATTCTGTTTGGGCACTGATCACCAACGGAACAACCGACGATCTGATCACCAATACGAAAATTATCCCAAGCATTGAGGAGCTAACAGTTCAGGAGGGCAACACTGGCTGGGATTTTGCGCAGAGTTTCCCGAGCGACACCGGCTTTCACAACTACTCGGCCACAGCATTGGCTTTGAACTCTTGGCGCGCAAGGACACATATGCAGATTCACATCCATCTCTGCGACAAGAACACGACTACGTACACGCACCTATCGACAGCCAAGGAGCTTCCTGCTACGCCCGGAACAGCCGACTATCGCCTAAAGCAGCTCGACACTGATCCCGATCTCTACTGCATCTCGGTGCCAAAGAATGGGGCCATCCAGAAATTTGGTGAGCTTGTTGATTCTTTTAGGCGAGGGACAACTTGCACCAGACGAGTTGGCGCAGGCATAATGCATGACAAACGTGGGAATACTTGGGGATGTGCAACTTTTAATTCAGCAGGTGGTGTGGCCAAGTTTTGCAGCACGGGCTCTTGATTGTATTTGATTTTATTATTAGTATAACGATTCTTTTCTTTTTTTCAACAGATAGACACATGAAATTTGAGTTGTTCTCATAATAAACTTGGTATATTATGTATCTCATTCTTGTTCAAAAGGCCCGTTGATCATTTCCCTCGAGTTGAATCCTAACATCGCGTATTCCGGTTCTCCATACTCTTCAAAAAGATTGTCTAACCGAGTGAAATCGACGGTGCACCCAATTTCAATCCTTCTTTTCTTCGAAGTACGCGCTATTGATTATCTGCCAGGCATGAAAGGAGCCAATTCATCTTTTCTTCTTCAAGCCATATATTCCTTTTATCTTCTCTAAAAAGTAGTGGATTACATTACGATGAAATGTCTCGCCAGATCTGCCCTAAGCCCTAAATTTCATGTACGTATGATGTTGCCACGATCTCATCATCTACTTCGCTACCAATATCTCATGCAAGGGACCATGTTTCAAAATTTCACAGTTTGGATTTATTAAAGTTAGAAGCAGTCTGTCTTGACTTGGCTTGGCTTGACACGAGTCTCTTGATGGCGATATCACGAAAGAAGGGATTAGTAGATCCGATGTCGATGCCGCTGTCCGATGGTCCACCTTAGACTAAAGCGTACCTACGTCTCCATGTAAATATTCTCTCTAGCACATGAAGTAAATGGGAATCTGGTTTGGTTTCTTGATATTCCCCTGACAGGGTCTAATTACTTTTCTAGAACTGTAGGTGAAGGTCATTCTCCGGCTTGCAAGTAAAGCGTCAGCGGGTTGAATAGGAAAGCCATAAGCTTAGTAGGACTGAGGTCGCCGGCTTAGGTCGCCGATTAAAATCAAAACCTTGTTTTAGCCCGAGATACACCGCGCGTTGCCTTAGTTTCCACCACCGAGATCGACTTTTGGGGACCTGTGTCAAGATTAGCCCACGGAGCCGCCGAAGCTTATCAACTCTTAGATTCTCTTGGGCCACACGTCACCCCTATGCACCCTTCACCGAATCTGTGCGCCTCTCCAACGGCTAAGAACGATTTTGGAATCGAAGGTTCCGAAGAGGGGATTGTATGGATGTGCCCGATGATAGATCCCGGCAAGGTCGTCGCGTGATCGTACAACAACGGGAGAGCCGTCAGGCAGGTTCTTACCAGGACCTCCGTATACAGAATGAGGTCTGGGGTTTACGGTGCTCTAATAATTAATATTAGGGACTGAACGACTCTGTTTATTTAGTCGATCCTGTTGCTTTGAAAGATTCAGTTAATCTCCAAAATTATCTTGTCAACACAAGCATATAATTTTGTGTACGCACCGAAGCAGCCCGAGAGAGGGCAAATAACGCCAAAAGGCAAATAACGTCAGAAGAGCCATTGGCTTCTCTCAAAGATCTAGCCCCCCGGCTTCCCCAGACTTCGCCATAGCGACCACTAGGCTTTGACTTGGCTTGCCGGGTCCCCAGTCTCAACCATGACGCCTTTGCCAAGGGCAAAACCCACCGGGACCCCAATGGTAAGATTCAGCCAAACCCATAACGTTTCCTAGGCCCAACTCTCATAATTACAGTGCACTAATCACCACCGCACGGTGCTCAAGTCTACGTGAAAAGTTTCACTAAGCCCCCTAGTCGGTAGATCGACCGTGGGAACCCATTCCATTGGACCCTTCCCCTAGCAGACATTTCGTCACAAAATACTCCCGTGGGGGAGAAAAAGAACAGACAGCCCCTAGGCGACTGCATATGAGAATAGAGCTTCGCCAAATGCGTGCTTTAAGAACACTTACAGTAGACAGACCTGCTTGCTGCCAAACCTAAAGGCATGCCCCAGCACCTGAAGGAAAGGGGTAATTGCGCGTCAAACTGCTATAGTCTTGTCTTCGTAGCGAACATATACGTCTCAGTAGCTGCTGTTCTATTTGCGGATCTATCATCCCTCCGTCACATTGAGCAATTCATGTTCTCATATCTCTTTTATCCTAAATGAGTTCTGAACAGTGGTCTCCCAAGGGCGGAGCCTGGAAATTTGACGGGCACAAGCTTATGAGAGCTCATATTGCTCCAAGAATGGTCCTCTTCTAGATGATAATGCGGGCCAGTCGAGTCATCTGAATCCTGCAACTTAGAAGATGCTCTTGTTCTATCACAATCTGCAGTGTAGGTACCTAGAGAAGCCATCATGGGGCAAGCTGCGACTGCTCCTCGCTGAAGGAAACATAAGTAGACGACACTGAATTAAATGACAAAGTTAGAGAGTGGACAATAGAACCAAAGAGCTGGGAGATAATTGAGGTGTTTTGTAAGTCATCATGGAACTACTATTGTTACGATTATTGTTATTTTTATCACCACTTGAGAGCTCAGCGAAGACGGAGCGCGCTCTTTTGACGTCGGTTTTCAGCCTGGACTAGGGCAGCTCTTCGCCTCCACGCTGGGAGCATATATCTAGGTCAAACACAGTCTCGTCCCCGAATCCGGACATGGTGGACTTAGAATACGCCCCCCTTCAGCATCTTCAGTTCAAACAGCAGAATTATGACAATCGAAATGACCGACAGGCTCACTTGGAGGATCCCCTTCCCTTATTCTCTATTCCGGGAGGCGTAGAACTGCTCAATGTACAACGAGGTTGATGGCCCTGAGATGGAAGCTACTGGCGGCGAGGCCAACAGACTCAAGGCATTCAAAGGCCATGCACTGGATAGTTGTTATCATCTATACTGGAGGAAGAGGCCTGAGGGTATAAGGACAATCTGTGTAACTGTGCTGCTGCGAAAGAAACGATGGAGAGGCGTGTGGATGAAAAGCAACCATCTGTTCATGTTTCTGGTCAGCTAGAGTTGGCTGTAATACGAGCGAGCTTCACTCACCTCTTATCTGCCGCCCTTCTGGGCTGCTGTGTACCGAGCGATCCAATCCTGACCCCGGGGGTCAACAACCTCGCGGAGCATCAGAAGTCCTTGGCCCTATGACTGCATGATGCTTTTTTAGGCGCGGAGAGGCTTTAAGTATGCAAAAGGGCAAATTAACTCTTTGTTAGTGCGCGCCCGGGCTTCAAAATGGCCTTTAGGGCCGGAAATTATGGCAACAGATGCCGTCCCATGGAAAACAGAGCAGGCTCGGGGGTGGAGTGTGGCTAATCGACGAGCTAAATGAGTATGGGGCATATTGAAAGCAGGATGTATGAGCGGAAAGAGAATATGTCATAGGATAGAGTACACGAGTTCAACCTTTGAAATACCAAGAGAGCAGTGTGTGTTTGGGACTGGAAGGGCTTTGTGTTGAAGAGTAAGGTGGGAGGGAGTGTTCAATGGTGTTGCGATGTGTGATGTGGGTCAGCTACAGGGTAGGTTAAGCTCAACCGTAAATCTGGGTGCCCGGTGGACTCCCTCAGAAAATCTAGTCGGCTCTCTTTGATCCAGGGCCACCATCACACCCGTTGATCCCTGCTCGGCTCAGCATCGATCGCTGACGTGAAAAAAACCGCAAGAGAAGGGAAGAAGGTATCTGTCGGCACCTATTCAATCGCTCCCATGGCAAGTCCCGACGACGAAAACGGACGACTGTCATATGCCGACTACTGGGACGGGCGGTATACCGAGACAGTCAAGGGTGAGGAGCAGGTTCATGAATGGCTCCGCTCATTCGAGGACCTGGAGGAATTTCTCAACCGCCGCCTCTTCCAAGCCTACCCTCCCGCCGCAGAGCCGCACATCGTCCATCTGGGATCCGGCGACAGTGTATGTATCCATGACCCCCTTCAGTTGGGGCACTATATTAACCACGTGTCCAGACAATTCCGCAGCATCTGGCCGCCAAAGGCTATCATCGCCAGCTTTGCGTTGATTTCTCAGCTGTCGTCGTGAAGACCATGTCTCAGCGCCACGCCGACTTGGGGCTATCAGACGTGATCCGGTGGGAGATGATAGATGTGCGCCACATGGATAGTATTGCCGACGCTTCGGTTGATGTCGCCTTTGACAAAAGTACACTCGATGTCATGATTCATGGAAGTCCCTGGAACCCTCCCGACGACACTGTGAAGAACACTGGCGAGTACCTGCGCGAGGTATCTCGCATCCTCAAACCCAGTGGAGTTTACCTTTCTGTTACCTATCGCCAGCCGCACTTCGTGAAGCCACTTTTGGAGTGTAAGGGGACCAACTGGAATATTGAAATTGAGCATTTGGGAGCTGGGGGGTCATTCGGTTATTATGCGATTATTTGTAAACCGCTACCTAGATCGTAGTTTTAGTGCTCTATAAAAAGCAATAGCATATCATGAATGTAGCCCGGTCAGGTTTTTATTTCCTTCCCTTTTCTTCTTTCTTTCTTTGAGATTTTTTTCTATTACTACTTTGTTGCTGCCATTCGTCTCTTTACTGCTCGCCCTGATCGTTAATTTCTGAGTGAATTTTGCCTCTATACTTTCACCTCGGCCGTCCTGGGAGAGAAGACGGGACGAAAGGGCAACATATTTCTAAGTTAACGCACACTTCCCAGTCCCAACTCGCGCTCCCCAACCGTTGTGGCAATCATTAAGGTAGTGAGCCGATGACATCCGATCACTCACTACCTGGGAAGGGGACTTTCCGCGGCACCGAGAGAACGCTATTCTCCTTCAACGCTATTCTCCTTCAGTTGCAAATGGAGTTTCGGCGTATGAGAATAAGAAAGAAACGGCATGGTAAACAAAGCTAGGCTAAGACACATCCATAAGAGCTCACACACAACGGTTCTCAAGATATAGACCAAGCAAACACAGCTAGATCAAACTTGTGTATTGTAAAATTAGAAGCAAGAAGCTTTCTTTCTGGGTATGAAAAATGCTTCCAATAGCAGGTAGCACTTTTCAGTTCAATTGCGGCAGTTAATTACAAACTTGGCGGCAGCACGTATACCATCAACCGCGTCGGCAATACATGGACTTTACCCAGCGCTTCATCACAATGTCGGACAGTTTCTCCAAGCAAGCCTTCTCCATTTGTCGCTTTGGCAAGTGCGCAAATTTGAGTCGCACCCCATCAACTTGCTTCTGGCTCAGCCACACTCTCTTCATCCGGCGGGCGAGCTCTTCACCACGGAGAACTTTCAAGGCGAATTTAGAGGGCTGGACCTCAACATACCACCGCCCAATACCGCGCTCAACAGTGAGCTTATGGATGCTACCATGGATAGCCATGGTAGCCTTGGAAACCAACTCAGCACTTTGGCTGGGGAAAGTGGAGTTGGCTTGGGACATGAAATTCCAGACACTGGTCTGCTTTTCAGAGAAGAAGGCTGTAATCGACTTGACTACGTCTCGAGCAATTTCCTGACGGAGATCGTATGCAGCTCTGTGTATCTGGTCTGCGGGGAAACTCTCCACCATCAGCGCTTCGTGCAAGTTGGTGCCACCGAGAGCTAAACGGTCTTCGATGGATTCTGCTCGATGCTGAGTGAAGCTTCGCCATGTATAAATCTTCTCTTGCCATCCAAACTGGGCGCCAGTAACATCGATGGAGAATTCTTCGCCGCTCTCGAGTTTGGCACGGAGGATGGTGTGGACGTCCGTGGTGGGATTGCCTCCGATTTCGACGACAAGGGCACGGCCTTTGGCCTTGATGCGGACTTCGGTTATCTTGGAGCAAACCGCTGATGACGCCATTGTTAGCACGGCAAACCCTTCCGCTTGTTTTCAGGAAAATATAGGGCAAAAAAGCGTACGTGTCAGAAGGGACTTGATCAAGCCCAAACCTGTGCTTATAGCATCGTTGCAGCCATTGTCATGGAGAAGGGCTTGCTTGACATCCTCATCCTGGTTCCCTCCCATTACGTCCTGGGAAAAATCACGAAAGATTGTCTCCCCGGTCCATCCTCCATGATCAAGAGCTTCGTTCTGGCTTAAGCAAGTCATGTGGATAGTTCTACCAGCCTTGCCAACAAACATGAACCGGTTCACATACGTGAGTTCCGCAAAAGTTTCCCAGATTGTATTGAGGACGCGAGTGGCACGTGTGAGGCGGCGGCGATCGTTGCAGATCTTCTTGTGATCTTGCCAATGTTCCATTTGGCAGTCTCGCGAACAGTATCGAGTGGAGAGGGATCCGATGTCTGCCACTTTACAGTTTGCGCAGACCATGTTGGCTCCAGGCTCATGGCAGTTTTGGCACCCCTGGTCGTTTTGAGTGAGAGAATTCGGCAATCGACGATGGCCTGTCACCGGTGGTAACATCAAGGCTTCCATGATGGCGTTGAAAAGAGCAGCTGGTTATTGAACGAGAGAGGTTTCTAGGAAGGAGGAATGGTTGAGTTTGCGAAGTAGTTGGTGTTTTCGCCTGGCCTTCACTAGAGTTCCTCAAGCGGAAATGCGAGCTGTGGACTGGGGCGTGTTAAAAGAGAAAAGGGGGGGAAGTGCAGGAAGTGAAAGAAGGGTGAGGAGTAGGTGAAGTGAAGTGGAAAAGAGAGGGAAAGGTGCGAGGAAAACATCCACGCGCCCTTAGGTGACGCGTAAACACGAACAAAGTATAATGTACAAACTGGCCTTGCCCAGATTACAGATTGCTAAGCTCAACGCTGGTTGGCTATATACATGTGAAGTTGAACAAACAAGAGACGGTTCACCGTTCGCTTCCAACTATGAAAGCTCATTACTTCAACAACTCTGGGCTCAAGAGGAACACCATATGGCGAGATCTATGCAACTAGGAGATCTATTATATCTTAAGGTGATATCTCACAGGCCACGGATATCAACGATGTCTTTTTGAGATCTGAGGCTGGAAATTTGGCGACGCGTCGGGACCCTGTATCAGCCTCCGCGCCTGGAAGAACTCAGGCGGGTACCGTCCATCGCCCTGACGAAATAAGTACTCTGGATGCGATGGAATCTGCCGATAGAAACCGGGTGGTTTGGGAGGGTCGATAACTGAATTCACGCGCGCAAATCTTGGCCATGGAAGAGCTTGTAGTGTGAACCAAACTCACAACTATACTACAGCCAACTGGAGACCTCTGGAACCGTTACTCACTTGCAATAATGACATTCAACGAGTACTGTAGACTAAGTAGGTTGAGGCCACTTTTAGCTTTTTATTCATAGCCTGGAAGATACTTTGATAAATATCACTTCCTGTAGTTTATAAGGAAACTGACTTAGGTGAATTTCTTCAAAAGGAAGCCATCGATCATTTAATATTACACTATCAGTGAGGCAAGCGACATCGGGTTAATATCGACATAGGGTGGCGGATCTAGGCGATGTAGGTTTAAGCTTCACAAAATTTACGTACTCGGATGGTGACGAGCTAGTTATTTCTAAACGAGACCGGGGCACTATTTTGTTTTCTGAGAAGGACTGGTTATTAATTAGGGAGTTACATGCCGTAACATGCCTGGGTGTTCTCCTCTTGAAAGTAATCATAGATTTTATTCTGATTCAGGTTCTTTAGCTTCAGCATTGTGATGACGATTACCCATGTCCCCAGTTTCGCGAGAACTGGAGACCAGTGTATGGTTGGTGATGCAATGTGAGGTTCAAAGAATGTGATGAAGGTATTCTAAGTCTCGAAATAATGAGTTGCCCTTGAGAGATTCTTGACTTGAGAGCCTTTCGCACAGCCCTCGGCCTGTTAGATGAGAGAGTGCCACCTAGCCATCGAGCCACGGAGTTGTATTCGCGGTCGGTGAATTGAGGTCCCACCACCTCTTGGTTTACAGAAACTCAAGGTTGACTTGCATCTGGTGCTGACCGAGGGGGTTGACTACCGTGAACTCATCAATGTGATGCTTCGACGGTTCTTGATTCACGGAAGGAACTCAATGTCGCCCTTTGTCTTATTTTTGGTCGGAACAAGGCCTCGACAGGCACGTGTTTGTCAATCTGATGCTTGGGGTTCGACGGGCGAGGGCTACAAGTTTATTGATTTCCTTGAAACATGGTCGGGAGTGCGGATCGTGGCTCCCAATCGTCTTTCGCACGAAGTTGCTAGTTGGTAGTCATCGGCCGCTCTAGCTATTGGTATGCTTGTTATCCTTTGTCAAGTAGCCTTGTTGGTCGGAAAATACGTACCTAGCGGCTCCAGTAGAGCGGGAGAAGTGGTGCCACTCATCTATTTCACCTGTGCTATCGCGAGCCGTGGCACTGGGCGATGGTGGCGTGGGATGTGCGTGTTGGGCATTCCCACAAGTGATTCGCTTAACTGCTCCCAAGGCCAAGGTCTTCTGTGTTCTGTTCGGGGCGCGGCACCTGAGGGAGGACGACACGGTTGACCGAGTAGGTTGGGCTTTTCCAAGTTGAATCGCTGCTTGAACGCACCAGCGTGTAGGTGGTTGAAGAGACCCGAGAAGGAACTTGAAGGAAATTTTGCGGGAGTCAACGATGGAAAGCCATTTTCTGCCAAGGGTATCGATAAGGATTGACTGAGAGGGCACCCACCAACCATAAAGCAGGTTTAAGTATGGGTAAGTTAGGGAGGGAGCTCCTAAACAGTGCATCAAATCCACCAATTGCTGGACATTGGTTTGCATCCAGGTGTCTCATTCCTTTACACATTCATAACTTCTCCTGTCATGGATTAAATACGTTGCCTTCATCCATCGAAATCAAATTTCTTGGCTCAGACTCAGGCTATCTTACTCGACCATGCCTCAACTATGAGTCGTCTAGTTTGCCTTCACCTAAGTCCGCAATAAACGTCACTGCCTTAGAACGTGGAATTTAAACAGACTTCCTCAGCGAAGTACCGTCAATAATCGAGACCTAATATCTCTACTCCCGCGTCTCTAATGGAGTATATAACTCATATAAGGGCAACCTAGGCTGGTCTGGTGTCGAACCTCAGTCCAACGCGTTGTCGGAACTGCAAGTCCCAGAATTGAAATCGCCCTATGCAATACTAACGCAGTCGATCACTTTAGAAGCCACCAAAAAAGCTTTGCTCATGTCGAACATGAGAATATTTCAGACACGGCCTGATTTAAGGCAATAGGTGTTACCCATTTATTTAGTTCAATGATCACGAAGATCCCGTGACGATGCTGCCTGGGGTATGACTGATAATATCCGCCCTCTTCTGCGTTGAAAACGTAAGCCAGATACTTTCTTCTTCAACGGTAAAAACAAAATTGTTGACAGCGCTTCTTGGGATGGTTGCAAGGAAACCCCTCCCTATGTCTGGCGTAAAACGCCTATATGTATGTTTATATGGAAGGTCAACAGGTTTTGTCGGCCAAAGGAGAGGACGGATATTATCTCGGCAGCACTTTTGTGGTGTGGGAGACAAAAAGGATGACTTTAAGATATCGATGGCGATTAAGGAAGTATGTACATTTTAAAACAGGGCGTTTTAATTTGGCCGGTAATATTAAAAGCTATAAGACTAAGAGGATTCTTCTACCTGGATGACGATTGTGCCTATAGGTCGATCATTCGTTTCCCATAACAGCACCTAATGCACTCTTAATTGTCGACCTTGAGCTTACCAAACCATAGCGATGCCGAGTAGTATTCATCCTCACTTGGATTCGTTCCGTAATCCCATACAGTATAGAAATTCCTCAGGAATCTCGTTCCAATCAGCGAAAAGCCATTTGATCCTGAGTCGTCAAAAGGTGGCCAGCAGGCGTCCTCCCGGTTGGCAAAACCAGGCAATGCGAGTTGGTCTCCTGTGACAGTGAGTTCCTTCTTGTCCTCGTAATTACCAACGACTAAAGTGAAGGACCATTTGTTGGTGAACTCGCTGCAGAGAGGTATGTGTTGGCCTGAGATAATAGCAGTCCAATTCATACCAATAGACGCATAAACATCTTCAATCTTATTAGGGGGGATTGAGACGCTGGAAGCTCCAGTGTCAAAGACGATGTTACCAAACTGAAAGTCAGTTGAGCTCTCAACTTCGGTACCATTCGACGTAACTTGCTTGCCCTTTGCCGAGTATAGTGTACTTCGCCACACGTCATAACCGCCAGCGCGTCGAAGAAGAGGCACCTTAGTCATGTCGCCATCGACATATTGATCCTGCCTCGATCCCCCGAGAGTCAACAGGCCTTGACCGTACTCGCCTTCGGGGCTATCCTTCCCAGTCTGATCGTAGTAAATGCCGAAGCGAGGCTCATCGACGAGCTTCTGCTCCATCAACGTCTCAAATATGGGCTTCGCACCGCCATCAGCAATACTGTTGAATGCCAGACCAAGAAAGCCATGGGCGGGAAGTGCAGCCCAATTACTTTCGTTTGCTGCAATGAACAACTGGTCAGAGCTCACATCTCCGATCGTGAGCTTGTCGGACACAGTCAGCCCTGCGACGCGTCCACCAAGATAATCGATCGATGCTTCTTGGCCGGTATAGTTACCAGTAGAAGACGCGGTAATATCATAGCCGATTCTCTCGAATCTAATGGTCTGTTTGTTAGCAGGAAGAAATCTTGGCAGATCTCATTATGGATGTACATGCCCGCTCACGTTGTTGCAATGTTCGCCGCACTCTTTGTCTACAATCCAAGTAGATGTGCTCCCAGTATCAAAAAGAAGACGATATGTTCGCGCCGGGGTCCCGATGTCAAGTTCAACCAATTTCTACACCATGTTAGGCGCCGATGCATTGATCTCTCGGAGGGTTCAACCTACATAACCGTTATACACAATGACGGGCAAATCAAAGACCGCCCCGCATGCAACTGGTGCAAGAGATAATGCGGCCAAACCGAAAGTCTTGAGTGCCATGGCTGCGACTGTTTGTGGTGATGGGCAGAGCAATAAGAGGGCATAACATCCATTGGGCACCTTGATAACGGTTGATGGTATTTAAACACTGCGATACGAGATCATAGATTGTCAATTTCCGTTTTGTGGGCCTTGCTGGCCATGCAAATACGAGCCTCTGATCACGTCGTCGCCCGGCAGTTGAGCGGTTTCGTTCGCTCGCTTAAATTGGCACTGACCATCCGACGGCAGTGACATCTCCCGTATCTTCCGTGCCCAAACCGGAAGACCGAACCCGTATTGAGGTTTCATGGCATTCAACTGCAATTTCCTCTTCTGGCTTGGGCTTGAGCAGAACAGAGCTATTTGATGGAGGCAAAACTTGAAAAGTTACCTTCAATATTCGTAAGGATAGAAACAAAGTCTCTCTGATTTAAAACATCAATAAATAATCCAAGGCTTGTAAGCGAAACCGTAGACGAAGATGGCCTTGGTTTGGACTCGAGTGGGAATGCCGTCACCAAAAAAAAAACACGAGGCTTGGC